TTTAATTCTTCCTATATCCTTGTATTGCTGGCAGGCATTCTGTTATAAGTAAGAACATCCCCTCCTCAAAAGTTAATTTTAGTCTGAAGTTATTCTAGGTAAGGGTCTCTTAGGTAAGGGTCACTTAGATCTGTCTATTGTGAACACACCTTTTAACATGATGAAGCAAGTTAGTGAGTCATGCTTTGAAAATATGTATCTAGTTTTTTCACGATTGTTCTCTAAAAACTTCACCATCCATTAAGTGTCCCTGCTATGTCAATTACTATATTTGCATACTCGAAATTGTCGAATTTAATTCTTCCTATATCCTTGTATTGCTGGCAGGTATTCTGTTATAAGTAAGAACATCCTCTCCTCAAAAGTTAATTTTAGTCTGAAGTTACTCTATCTGTATTATTAAAAGTTGTTTTGTCTATCACTGAACTGGTATGAATTGTTTCATTTGATATTGCAATCCTTATGACTATGATTGGTGTGGGAGGATAAGAATACAAGAACACAAACATTCCTGTTTCTCTTATTTATAGTCTAACTCTTCCACAATTTCATACTCTCTTTAATATACACGGTAGATTACATTTACTGTATTTCTGTATTTGTTTTCTTTGTGTGTCTGTGCGTGCATGCGCACGTGTGTGTTTTGCTTGGTATTTAGGAAGAGTTGTATAGCTCGTGTTAACATTGCACTGAAAACCTTTTTTTAAAAAACATATTTAATCCCATTTTAAGGTGATAATTTTTTTTTTCCTTTAGTTTGTTAGCACATGCACTTGCCAAAGACAGAGAAAAAGAGACAGGGAAAGTGAGAAATCACCCCCTCAGAAGGAATGGCCACACTGCAATCCCTTCTCCTACATTCTCCTCTTGAGATTCTGGACACACACACACACACACACACACACACGTGCATGTAATCTTTTTCATGCCATTGGGTCCAGGACTCAAATGTGCAGTTGGCCATGTGGGATCCAGCTGCCTTAACATCCATACCACCTGAGAGCCTAGTCGATAGAATGCTTTTAAAAATTTGTGGATTTTTAAGAATCGATTTGTATTACACTTCATTAAACAAAGGCCATATTTGAATATATTAGAAATGACCTCTTATTTACCTTGTGTTTCCTACAGGCAGTATACACCCTTAAGATTGCTAGGTCTTTGACAGGGTCTATAAATCCACACCTTAAAGCTCGTGAAGTCTTAAAGAGTTTTACAGTTTGGATCAGATTTTTGCTTTAAGTTTCTTACCTTGAAATCTTTTGTCAAAGTCCCTTGGAAGGAAATACAGTTTTATTGCCCAAACCAGCAAGTCTTGGTTCCGATGTTTCCTCAAATTCTATTTTAAAATGAATTATTCCAGGGCCAGTGAGTGGCATAGTGGTTAAAGCACTAGACTCTCAAGTGGTCAACTGTGATTCGAGTCCTGGACCTGGCAACTTGATATTCACACTGTGTGTGTGTGTGTGTGTGTGTGTGTGTGTGTGCCTAAAATCCTGAGAGGAGAATGGAAGAGAAGGGATTGTGGTGTGATCATCCCCCCGGAGCGTGATTTCTTACTTTCTATCTCTCCGACAAGCACATGTGTCCTATAGCAAAAATTTCTAAAAAAGAAAATGAATTATTCCTCTGTGTTTTATTTATGAGTTTATCTCTTTCTGTACTGTATCATGCGTGGCTAAAATAAATCAGTTTACATTTTTAACTTGCGTCTTGGAAATTGTATGGTTTAGACATCTCAATTTTACACACTTTAAAACTCCTTATTTCCATAGGCAATATTGTTTTGCTAACCTTGTCACTATTGCAGAACAAGGGGCTCCTTTCCTCTGCCTTCCAATATTTCTCCCCTTATTTTTCTTGAAGCCCTCCCTGACATCTTCCCCAAGTCTGTAAGAGCCTGCTAACAGTTTCCTAGAAGCCCTTCCAGCCTCTACCCACTTTCTGTCCTGAAGCAGTGCCACTTATCTCAGGAGTTTAATATGGTGGACTTCTAATCCAGAGACCAAAATTTTAGTTTTACTGTTGTCACATTGCTGACTCTCCCATAATTTATCATCTTAAACAAATCATTTTACTTTGCCTACTGCTCTCTGGGTGAGCAATCTGAGGAGGGTTCAGCTGGGTCACAGTTGCTTTAGGTCTGTCTCGAGGCTGCCATCGAATGTACAGCCATTTAGAGGCTCAGCTGAGCTGGGTGCCCACTCACGTGGCTGGCAATTGATGGTAGCTTTTAGCTGAACATTCTTTTTAAGCTGTCAACCAGAGAGCCCACATGGAATCTATGCACTGTCATGATCTTTTGCCAGAAGGCATAGGTGCCTGCATGTGCATGGGGAAGAGAAAAAGGCAGAGAGAGAAAGCATTCACCAATGGGGTGTGGTGATGCACGATCCTCTTTCTTCAATTCTTCCTTCCCATCAGGATTTTGGGAACACAACCCAGTGTGTTTTTCAACTCATAGTGCCAGGATACAGGCCACAGCCAGTCATGTGGGATCAGGCTCCTTAAACCACTGCAGTATAGGGCTGACCCAGGAGTCTAAGTTCTTGTATGTCTGGCTTCCACTTTGAGCTTGCAACAATCAGTAGAAACATTCATGACCTCTTGGGACTAGTAGATAGTGTAATGGTTACATTGCTGGGCTCCCGCATAGTTAAATGGTTCAAGTCTTGGACCCTGCAGCTTAAAACTCATGCTGGGTGCATGTGTGTGTGTGCCCAAAACCCCAAGAGGAGAATGGGGGAAAAGGGATTGCAGTGTGGCCATCCCCCATGGCGGGTGATTTCTTGCGTTTCGTTTCTCTGTTTTTCTCTGTCTCTCTGGCGAGGGCACACACCCTACAGCAAAAAATCTCTCTCTAAAAAGAAAAAAAAAAATCATGATCTTTTCTGATCCAGCTTCAGAAGTCACGCAGCATCACTTCTGTCTTGCTCTATTGCTCAAAGCAGTCACAAGCCTTGTCAAATTCAAGAGAAAGGGGGCATAGGCCTCATCTCTCAATGGTAGCACTGTCAAAATTTTTGTAAGTGTTAAGTTTGAATATTGCCATACAATAATCACTCCATTTCACAGTTAAGAATTCACCTAGGACATGTGGTGATTTAGTGGCAGACACCAAGATAGAGCCCAGATCTTCTAAGTGTTCAATAATTCATCTTGGGAATAACCATTGTCAGAGTTTCAGTGACTGAGTTTGACCCTGAAGACACAAGCCAACAGGCTCTCCTAGGGCCAAGTCTTGGCAAAGCTTTTCTTTCACTGCTCACCACACTTTGAACTCATTCTGACAGAGCTTCAGAGAGCCTGTCATCTGGAAATGACTACTTTCCTGATCAGAGAGAGGGGAGTCTTTGTATTCATTCCATTTGGAGCAGCCATTGCTCTTTTTTTTCCCACTTCTTCCCAGATATGTGACAGGCAGGCAGATGTACTAGGAGAGCCCATTTCCTGAAAATCAGCAGGTTTGCTACAAAATTTCCAGTTGTGTTCTGCTGGCTTTGGGCAAACTATGAAGCTATGAAGCAGACACAGTGTCAGTCATGGCAATAAAGATTATGGACCATCAGGACAGTGACAGCTGCAGTGCCAAAGAGCAAGAGAGAGTCTGGTAAAGGTTTAGCCTGTGTACAGAATGAGAACATGGGCTCTAATTTCATTGCCATGTGAGAACTCTCTCTGAAAGCAATCACTTAGGAACTGCCTTCTAATCATGACGATTATCATAATGCAGTTACAACTTATATGTCAGTGAAGACATTTTTTTCCCTTTGTCTTACAATAAAAATAGACTTGTTCACCTAAAGGATATCCGAGACTTTAAGATGACAGGTGGTCAAAACAGACAAAGAAATTATAACGGGTTCCTACAATTGGTAAGAATTAGCAGAATATAAGCCAACAGGTGGCTTGGTGGTTAAGGTGACTGGATCCCATATGGTTGACTACAAGGTTCAAGTTCTGGACTTGGCAGCTTGAAAAAAAAAACACCAGGCACATGTGCACGTGTGCTCTCCCAAAATCCTGAGAGGAGGGTAGAGA